ACCCTGGACAGGTGGGCAGGCTGGCCACACCCTGGACAGGTGGCCACGCCCTGGACAGGTGGGCAGGCCCTGGACAGGTGGCCACGCCCTGGACAGGTGGCCACACCCTGGACAGGTGGCCACACCCTGGACAGGTGGGCAGGCCCTGGACAGGTGGGCAGGCCCTGGACAGGTGGCCACACCCTGGACAGGTGGCCACACCCTGGACAGGTGGCCACACCCTGGACAGGTGGGCAGGCCCTGGACAGGTGGCCACGCCCTGGACAGGTGGCCACGCCCTGGACAGGTGGCCACGCCCTGGACAGGTGGGCAGGCCCTGGACAGATGGGCTCCCCAAACCCCCCCAAAGCAGCTCAGAGAACGTCTGTGTCCCCGTTGCTGGCTCACCTTTTTCTGTCTGTAGGAAATCCCTCATGTGCAGCTTCCAGAGGGCCCTGAGCTGGGAGCCTCTGTCCTCTGGGTCCCCCTCCGGTGGGCCCCCCTCCCCTGGGTCCACCGCTCGCACCAGCTGGTCACAAACGGCTAACAGCAGCAGGACGGTGGGCAGCGGTGAGGACACACTCTTGGTGAACAGCATCTGCACACACCAGCGGCATGTCCTCCGTCTCAGGGCTGGTTTTCGTCTGTCCAGCAGGGCCTCCGGGTCCTCTGCTCAGCCCCACTTCCTCCTTTTATCAATGCTCCTCTCTGCTCTGCTGCTCACAGGGTGTCAGCCATTATCAGGAACGTATCAGCAGTCTTCCCAGCAGCCATAACAGACGCGGTGTCCACTGGGGACAGCACCGGCCGTCCTGCTACGCCCACAGTTTGCCCAGATCCAACATGGCCGACATCACCTGGGCGCTGCCCCCACTGAAGCCCACCTCAGCCTGTGAAGGCGGAGAGGAAGGAGGCCCGTTAACTGTGGCTGTTTGGGAGGAAGTGTCCACACACGCTCATGTTTTTGTGTCACCCAATCAGAGCTATGACGGGCAGGAGTGTAAAAAAAACCTTCAGTATCACAAGTGTTGAGATTAGAGAGTGAGCCACCCTGATAGTGTGAGCCCAACACATCAGAACAAGCACAGGAACACCAGTCCTGGGATCCTGTGTCCCGGTATGTTTGTTTCACTCAAAATCTGCCAAGACCTTGTTAACCTGACAAGCATGAAGACATGGACATGCCCTTAGCTCTGCTGGTGCTGTGTACTGTCCCAAGATATCAGCGTGATTAACACGGGGGGCTGCAGCTAAGCCTGCTTCTGTGCCACATAAGGACAACTTTATTAAGAATAAGCACGTTAACTCTTCATAGCTGACAAACTTACTACAAACATAGCTGAAAATCCAGATCAATGATAAACTAAAACAGTGATAGGACAATGATGTAATAACCCAAATAGATCTAAGGAACAAGCATCAGATTGTATGTCCTCTCACTCCCACCTCTGGCTGATACCAACACCCTCCTGCTGCAGCCGGAGTGCCCCCCCATCTCTAACCGGAGAGGAGCTGGGAGCCTTTTCAGACGGCTTCTGTAGTGGATTAATATCTCGCAATGAATATATTATCACAAATGATTAGTAGTGAGTGCATTAATATATATATATATATATATCTAAAAGAGAAGTAGATCAACATATATCTAAAAGGGGAAGTAAATTAACATGTATCTGGGGTATAAAAGAGGAAGAAACCATGGTTCAGAGGTCAAACTATAATAAAGGCTATATGAATGCATGAGAACTGCAAACAGAAATAAAGGGATAAGTAAAATTGTACCATATGAAGGTTGATGCAACCTGCATGTATCCATGAGATAAGTAAACATATAACGTATGGGAACCAGGCTAACCAAGATGTCTCACCTAGAAATTATGAGCAGGTGCCAGGAGAGGGAGATAAGAGACGTATGGGACTGAGACGCCCATTTTAAAAAAGGGAACTCTAGGGGATTATCCACCGGTAGAAAGGAAAATATTGGGTATAACGGTGGGAAAAGTAACTGAAAATACGTCATAAAAGGAGGGGCTCAGGGAGGGGCCCCCAAGATTCAGGGAAGGTATAAAAGCAGACCGCTTCTCCCAAGAGAGCAGGTGTTAGCCCGGCTAAAAAGCTCATGTGGTTGACTTGTATTTGCTGCAATAAACCACTCTGGACCGAGACCCAGCTGCCTCTGCTTTTTCTTGACCACTCTTTGAGATTTTTCAACTGCTTCTCCAAGAACTTAGTATTTTTGAAAGACTTAGAATAATTCACCAAGTCGTTGGGAGGACATCCCCGACACTTCCCGTCTCATTTCGGGGTGGAAAACAGGATTCTGTTCAGGCTGCATAAGCCCAGCACAGTGGGCCTGATCCGTATGGAAAAGTCCTGGGATTTGAGCCCTCCACCACGTCCTCCATACTGGGGTCCACACTGGTGCTGCTGGTGGGTTTGGCAGGTCTTCCTGAACTTCAGGAATCCTCTCATCTGGGTGAAGATAGCCCCGGGAGGCAGACCATCCCCAGGATATCTGTTGGAGAGGGGAAGGTCACATGTTTTCAGAGCGTTGGACTCTCCAGGGTCTGGCTGGGCTTCAATCTGTGGCACTCTCATCACCAGAGATCCAGCCGGGGTAGTGGATCTGAGTCCTGTTCCCGTTTGGTCAGCATCATAAAGGCCCACCGTGTCACGCGGTCCCACATCAGGATTACCAGAGCAGCCGGTATCTCATGGAAAGGCTGAAGGGAACTGGACCAGGAACGGACCTTTGAGGAACCCCTGGCAGAAGCCTTCTGTCCTCTGGTTCCAGTTCCTCACAGATTGGATCATGGTTAATTTTCCATAGGCGTTAGAGTCTGAGGCCACCTGGTGAAACACCCAGATCTGTTCAGCTCTCACCCACCGACACCTGGAAGTGACTAGTCCCACACCCACTCTGAAAATAAAGACTCTGAGACCCTGGTGGATGGCAGCGGGGGGGCAGGCTGGTTTCCCCATTTGTGTTTCCCATAGCAAGTAGCCAAAGAATGGGATGTCTTTAAACACCAGACGTTTAGTTGGTTAAGGCTGAAATTGTCCACTAGTAGTTTGTAAAAGACCCTCAGTAAGCAGACCCCCCCACCGAAAGAACCAAAGGTGAGGTGAAGTCATAAGAATCACAAACGGTTCCAGTGATCACAGAAACATTTATTTATTTCTTATTTGTTTAACAGGCATTGGCTCTACATGTCTTTGCAGCTGAACTAAAATGAGCAGAGACACCAAAGACATGAAAAAGTTCACTCAGCTAGTGTGAAGGCCTGTTTCATTACTGATGAAGGCTGGTTGGCTATTTGTGAAAGTTTTTTCTGAGTTTGGCACTTTCAAAAACAGTAACAATTCAGTTATGAAGTCATAAAGAGCACTGTGGAATGTTACAGAACAACAGCTAGGAGGCTCCTTTAGCCCTCGGCTAGGACAGAGGACAGCTA